CAGCTGAGCATAGTATCGCAAGTTTGGACTCCTAAGGATATTTATATAACAGGGTCACATAAGGAACGACCCAATTCTATTTCTGGCACAAATGATCCCAGTGGTCATGGAGGTTAAGAAGAGGAGGTTGACCCTGTTAAATAAACTGATTAGTCTAAACCATTTCCTCCAGCCTTTGAGTTACTGTGTGGCAGCTGAGAAACGACAAACGTCGCGAATGAGGCCTGCATGCAGCGTAAAGGTATGATAGGGAGAAGAATATTTCGCGGTTCAATGCACTAACCCGGTGCATTAGAGCAACCGTGTTACAAAACTGAGAACATAATGGACACCACAAACAAGAGACATTCTTCTTACGTAAATGGATCAAGGTAATGACAACATATACGCACTTTTCGTATATTACACGGGTCGATTAAAGGCTTTAATCACGAGCGAATATCCATACTTTTAGGTTTCTACCCAGAGTCTCTGTATTAAGGGCAGAATCACCTAGGGAAGCCTAATTATCAGAACATTCTGTCAATCTGGATCGTCGTTGTTTTGTTAATCGATCGTTTTGGGATTAAAATCAGGTTTTCGCAGGTGAGCTATATGCGTAATCGCTGGTTGGTCTCAGCAACCTTTAACTGTCCTCTAGTACAGTGTCAGACTCACACTAAGAGGACCTGAGTTTGAACCCTGACCGAGTCACTCGGTTTTCAACCAGCTGACACAGATAAACGGATCTGTACTAAAGGGCAAGCCAACTTCAATCCACACCGTTATTTACGGACTGCCACTTTGAACGTCACCATATACAAAGGAAATGTGTTCGTTTCCTGCGTATGGTTTTGGCGACATGTTCAAGATTCACGTCAAAGAGGAAGTATTTCTTTATGTAGTCGACTTAATCAGACTGTGGATGAAAGGATAGCATTCTTGACAAGTTGCAAACTCGGGACTTTAATTGTGGATCTTATACAATATAGGAAACATGTTGAAAGTTAATATGACACTTCTTTGAATAAAGCGTTCATTTCTCTAGCATATCATCTGTTGATTTTCAGAACAAGAATAAATATTTGCTCTACTCATCGGTCGATCGCTAACCAGACTAAACAATTGACGTACCTCATCCGTGTTCGCGTTGAACAGCAACAGGTCGAACGGAATAGCAGCAACGACGTCGATTATGAACCATCCTTTAAAATAGTGAATGGCGATCTTTCCGGGATGGCTGACGACCTCGTCGTTATTGTTGACGTACGTCGTTCGGAAGTTGATGATGATGTCAATGATGAACATGATATCTACGATCAGATCTACGACCTCCAATGGGTCGCTGTATTTGTATTGCCTCTTCGAAAGACTTTCCTGAAAGTGACCATTTCAAAAGCTGCCGGTCAACAGAAGTGGATAAAATGAGTTTAGCGAGATTCCAGAGACTCATTGATATCATAACTAAATAAATATCATAAATACGATCGGATCTAGAATTACGAATAATTTGAATTTAAGGCAGATTCGTCGTTACATCGCATACCCGCAAACCTCTAATCGTTTTCAAATAACATTAAAATAGACGATATGAATTATACAGTGATCTGTGTAGCTGAACCACTCTAAGAGACGGGTCTTGTCTTGTCCTTTAAATAGCCAGATAGCCTTCCTGTTCAATGCCGGTTACATTTCAACAATCACCTGTTGGGTCCATTTTCTACAGTGCAGAACCAATGGCAGTCCGTATTGCTTTTCGCTAATTGATACTCCATCTACAGCGTCAGGAAAATCATTCGAGTTATTTCGTACCTTCGCATTCCACTGGGTCAAAAACAGTGTCGGGCGTCGCACAAGCATTTAATCTGAGTCTAACATGTAAATGCTCACTCGTCAGTTTTTTTTCGACGCCGTGTCATGTGCCACGAGAACTTACCATGTTGTTAAACGTTCTTCTAGTGGTCCTTGTCATAAAGCCTAACATTCAGCATTTGTTTCTGAAGCTGACAACGACCGCGCAGTTTCAGGTGCCCTGTCTGCAGCCAATCGATCACTGTGGCGACATATTATGTTTTTTCTTATAATATTATTTGACACCGAAACATACAAATTTAGTAATACTACTGATCTTGCATATGCAAAATGCGAAAGATGCACATTCACAGCTTTGTGCTTTTACCAACATGCTCCTCCGAACATATTTCTGTCAGTCAAAGCCATCGCTATCTCACAGGCTACTTTATCGTCGTTTGGCGCTGGTCTGTTAGCAGCTAAATTATATTCAAAGCAATTTCAGATCCATTCAAACACATATATAATCTATTTGGATAGATTAGGCATTTTGCCATGGTATCTGGCAACCGGAGAGCATGGTAGAACATGGCTGTCCGACTCGAGCTGTCATCACATCGTAATTCTGCAACCGCACAATAAATGTGTGACTGTTCGAAGATCTGTCCTCTCTCGTTCGTACAAAGTTAGCGTCATACTTCAAGAAACCTCAAAACAAACAATCGACTAATGCAAAATTGCAAACTTAACATGCTTTAACCTGCAATCCTTTAGTTAAACTGATTAATGGCTATTGTCATTTCCAACCTACTGTAGGTCAAATATTACAGATTCCTAATTATTCATCTGGTTCCTTTCGCACCTCAATTTCTTGGAAATTGCTAACGCCTAAGTATGGTCTAGTTCTGGTATAGGATCGCATTTAACCGATCCCTAAGTCTGTCAGTACCTAGAGTTTCAGCCGTGCACAGCGATTAATTGTACACTGCAAACATCATACTTCTCTGAGAAGGAAGGCGGCGACGTACGGCGTAAAAATGGCTGTGTATATGACAAGAAGTAGAATTATCCAATCCCAGACGGCTTTGAACGGCGAGTAGTGCAGGATTGTGCAGTGGTGGATTCTCATAGGCTGCAGCTTGTACTCGGGCAAAACATCGGCACCCAGCGAAAGGACCTGAAAGCAAAATATTATGTAATACACACTTCAGCTAATCAGCTAAGCGATGAAATCCTCCTGGCTATCCAAGGGACGGGGGAACCATATTCGCATAGATTCGTTACCAGGGAACGGTGGGACCGAATGAACTTGGCGGTCACTGACCGCTTCCGGCGACCAGCGGCAGCCAAGGAACGATGCATCGGTGACGAACGGCTGGCGATCAG